AGACAGAGACTAGAAAAAACATTGTGTTGAACAACATTTGTCTAAATAGATTAAAATGGTTTGATTTTAAATAAAAAAATATACTTAAGTGTGTATCAATGTTTATGCAGCCCGGTCACAAACCCGGCCCCGCTATTATAAACTCGTCTTGGCCCTGGTCAAATTTCAACCCTGGTTGCTTACTAACTCAAGCTAAATGTGGACAACCTTTAGCTTGAGTAAGTCACCTTTTGACTGAGTAAGTCCACTTTTAGCCTGAGTAAGTCCACCTTTAGCTTGAGTAAGTGCTAAAAATTTTCCTAAAAGTTGTTTAGTTTCAGGTTTTTAGTTGTTTAATTTCAGATAAAAAATTATTTAATTACAGGTTTGCCATTCTTAATCCTATGTTTAAAAACATAATTTTTATTTTTTAGTTAAACATGAATTAAAGCATACTTCCTCATATTTGTTTTTCTCAGGTTTCAGTGCAAAACAATAGTTTGATTCAAAGCTAACTGTGACTAATTATCCAAGCTCAAATTAGTTCTAAATTGTCCAACTCTGAAATGAGGTAGCTAACCTCAACTTTGAACCAAGTATCAGCTATCAAAATATCAAACTGAAGTTTCATTGGGAGCTATTGATGAAAAGCTATGTCAAGATGACATAGCTTTTCCTCAATAGCTCCCAGCAGTTCTTCTCGACCAAAGAAAAACTTGACAATAAATACATCTAGAGACAGTGGTTGCAATTGTCAGTTAATCATTGCCATAGCAGAGGATTTTCCTGAAACCTACTATAATGTGCACAAAGTTCTGTTTCTGATCAATTCAAATCCCAATGAGTTTGTCATCTCTTGTGACTTAAAGTTAGCCAACAATTCTAAACCCATGGAATTGCATTTACTGCTGGGAGTTGTCAACCATCTTTTCAAGATCTTAAAAGCAATTTAGCCGTACACAGATGTGTGGCTTAAAGCTTTATACATTAAGATACAACCTTACCATGGAGATCAGTTTGCTGGTAATGATTACCACAAATTTCTAAAAAAGTTTTGTAGTTAGCAAAATTTTGTAGTGAAAAAATCAACAGCATTTGATGAAGTTTGATGCTGTTGTCACATGTAAATTTGATGTTGTTGTCACAGCTTGCTTTAGATCATATCTTGCTGACAATTTTCAAGGCAAATTGACATGTTTGAAGGTTTGTGTTTTTAAGGCAATTTGACGTTTAAAGATTTATTTTTGGCAATGCCATCTGGAAGTATCACACAAAAAGACTTTAAAGAAAAAAAGCCTCATTGGGAGTACACAGGGAGCATACAACAGAGGGTATGCACCATAATTTTCACCAACATTGGCAAAGTTGCAAGAGACCCGCAACACTTTCAGAAAATGGGGAACAACTGCTATTATGCATGGTTATCAATAGCAAGCACATATAATATCAATTGCTTAACAGAAGACTGAATTTTGTTTTTTTTTGAATTTAATATTATTTGTTGTTATTACCTTGCTTTGTAGAATAGTCATGCTTGATTTGATTGAGGGTTATCATTAATTAATAGTGAAGTATTGAATTCATATCATCCAGTTAATAATTTCAATTCAATTCACAATACCGATTTTTAAAAGTTTAGTCTAAAACTAGATATATTTTTTTGCTTCATTTTTCTGCATAACATAAGTTAATTGTTTCAAATATTTTAAACTTTGCAAACTATGCAAAGCATGAAATGGTTATAAAAAGTATTTACTTTTTTATTTATCACTAGCTAAGATTCTAATAAAACTAACTAGCGTTAGTTTTATTAGAATCTTGCTGGAATGAAACAGGTGGTCAGACAGAGTGCGATTGCACTTGCTACTTGATCAAGGCTGCATTTAAATATTTCCACTTAACGTCTTTAGTTAAAAAACTTCTAATATCTCATCTTAAGTCTAATAACTTTCTAATAATCAATACAGATTTTGATCTTTTAATTCTATAGCTGGCTTGTTTACTGTTATAACAGAAAACTTCAATGGAGCATTATATGGAGGAAGCGAAGCTAAGGCTATTACTCTTGACATATCAAAGGCTTTCTACAAAGTCTGGCATGTTAGTCTTCTCCTTAAGCACTCTTTATATGGTGTATCTGGAATGTTTTTGAGATTATTATATCATTTCTTTCAAACTGCAGTATTAAAGTTGTCCTCCAAGGCTGATACTATTGTTTATTTCCAGTAACTTCTGGGGTACCACAAGGTTTTATTTTGGTCCTGTATTGTTTCTCATCTATATTAATGATTGTCTTTAAAATCTTAAATATAAATTGGCTCTATTTGCTGACAGCACAACTATATACTTAAGTATTGACAATAGACCTCCTCACAGTTCCGAAAATTTAGTGCGAGCGCACATTTAACAGTACGTCATTGTTCCTTGTGCGCAGAATTGCATGAAAGAAAGTAAATACACAAATATATTATGAAAGCTTTCTTGAAATGAGATTTCTTTATTTTATTCATAATAAAAATATTGATTTTGAATTATTTAACTTTATTTTAACTATTTTAAGGATAAATTTATATTATTAATATATCTATACTTTTTATAAACATACATATACATATATATGTGTATATATACATATATATCAGTGTGTGTGAGTGCGTGTATATATACATATATATAATATATATATATATATATATATATATATATATATATATATATATATATACGCACTCATACATATATACATACACATATATATATATTTATATATATATGTATATAAATATATATATATATGTGTATATATATATATATATATATATATATATATATATATATATATATATATATATATATATATATATATATATATATGTATGTATATATGTATATATATATATATCTCCTTTCCCGAAAGCTCATTTTTATTAATCAATTTAGAGCTATTTAGAGCTTTTACACTCAACTTACAAATTTGTTTGTTTTTTCCTTGATTGCAAATATTATATAACAAAAACATATAAACAGTATAGATTTTAAACTTAAAATGGGTAAAATAAACTTATATTAAGCTAAATCAATGTCTTTTTTTTTTAAAAAAAAGAAAAAACCTCATATAAACAACTGTTTCTTTCAAGGTTACTATCCTATTTTATATGTGTATTTACTTGTTTTCATGCGATTCTGCGCATTAAGTACCATTTTATATGTGTATTTACTTGTTTTCATGCGATTCTGCGCATTAAGTACCTATTTTATATGTGTATTTACTTGTTTTTATGCGATTCTGCGCATTAAGTACCATGACGTAATATTAAATATGCGCGCGCAGGAAATTATTGGAACAGTGAAGACTTCTATTCTTGCTTTTATTAATATGAAAAAATGATTTTTTTCTTTTTTGTTTAGTATTTATTTATTTATATACATGTTTTTTATATATTTAAAGTGTATTTATTTATAACAGCTTTCAGGCTTGGTCAGGAAGCGGGAGTGATCGCTCTTGATTGCTGACCACGGAAATAATAGTTAGATGCAAAAAGCTGGCCAGATTTTTTAGTTGTTTTGAGAACATTTGAAAAAGCAAAAAAAAAATGTGCAAAAGATTAATTTAGTCCAATAAAAGAAAATTACAAAAAAAAAAAAAAAAAAATTAACAAAATAAAATATCTTTTAATGCGAAAAAAACTTAAAGCAAAATAAATTATGTTTAGAACAAATATTTTCGAAACATCGCTCTTTTACAATTTTTTTATAAAATTAACATCTTAGATTGTTTAAAAAGGAAACAAATCTTCTTTATTTATCAAAGTTTGCAAGTTTTAGTTTATTTAACCTATATTATTTTATTAATAAAAAAGTTAATTTTTTTAATACCTATTTTATGCTTCACGTAGTTTGAAAAGTTTAACATATTTGAAACAATTCTTCTTAGTAAGATACACAAATAAAATAATTAAATCATTGAATTACTATAGAAATCAAATTAATTAAATAGAAATCAACTAAAAAAGTTAAAAATACTTTATGATGAGGAAGCGAAACTGCTTCACAATATCGCTGATGATGTTTAGTGAGTGGGCTTTTTAATTTTAATTAGTATTTAAAGCAGAAAAAAGTATAACGAGTTTTCAAGAATGGCAACTTAACGCAAAATAATTAGATTTAGTAAACCAATATCTAGAAACTTTTCTTTATATCTAATAACTTGCTATATATATTTGTGTTCTGTCTTGACGCAAGTGGTTGGTCATCCGCGAGTTACTTTGTATGCATTGTTTGTGTTTAGTAACCAGAAACTCCTTATATGTTTGTTACATAATTAGTTTTATTAACTTTAATGATTATTAATAACTTCATTGAAAACTCAGTTATTTTTGTATGTCTTTGTTTACAAATTAAATCGATAAAAAACAGATACACAAAATTACATTTACATAAAAAATACATACTCTTTAAATAAAAAATAAGTATATACTAATAAAATCTATAATTTATAATAAACTTTCAAAATTTTGGCAATTTAAATAATATATATTTAAAACATTTATCTTTGTAAACAAATAATAATAGTCTATAAGATTTACAGCTTTACAGATGTGGCTCTGAGAATGAGCCATTGAATTGATAATATATTCTTAAAACAATTTATGCTAGAAATCTCAAAACGTAACAAATCGTGAATAATACAATATCTAAAACATTTCAACAGAATACTCTAAACTTTAGTCAGCGTATTTTTTGAACCAATAGAATCAGTTCGTTAATTTGGTGGGTTTTTAGAGTTCCCGAATATTCTTTTTATTCTTCCGCACCAATATGTTTTGAGAACATTCAAGTTTTTTATGTTTCTTTTTTTTTTTTATTATTTTTAATTATTTTTACCTATTATGAATTTAATATATTAATACTACATGTATGTTAGGCATGAAAATATAATAATAAATATGTGAAATAATAAATAAATAAATACTGTTTCAAAATTTTGTTTATAATTCTAACAACTGTTTTATAACAAATAGGAAGTATTACATGTTGAACTATTCAAGGGAAGAAGTTAATAAGAAATATGGATAGCAGAGATGATACTCAAGCAAATCCATTTAGTAGGCAGCACTTTTTTTCTGACCAAAGCTTACTTCGTGACCAGAGCTTACTACGTGAGTGTTGTTTAATTTTTTTTGTTCAGCTTTATAAAGCAAATAAAGGAATTTAATATCAAAAATTTAGCACAATTGATTTTCAAATCCCAAAAGTCTTATAACTAGTGATAATTGTCTGAAACCTCATATCATTAAAAAAAAACGAAAGTAATTTCAAGCCTTGGCATGAATTATGGTATTTTCTTTGTTATTGTCTTTATCATTAACTTAATACTACAGTCAATCTTTTTTTAATATTACATCGAATTTATTTGAAAGAAGTTTATAAGCTTTCATTTTTTTCATTGTTTCATTCATTTAATTAAAATATAAATTCATAATGTTTTCGCATCATTAAAACATTAAAATGATGAAATAACGATTTCTTTTGGTTAAAACTTATTTAATGTTTTTTCGTTGCTAACGCTGATAGAACTTTTATAACTTTTTTAGCAAATATTTTCACAAACTTAAACTTTTCTTTTCCTCAAATATTATTTAGAACTTAATTAAAATTATAATTAATTAAACTTAATTAATATATAATTAAAATTAAAGTTATAATTTTAACAACTATAGCTTTTTAAATTTAGTTAAATTTTTGCCAAAAACATTTTAGGTTAACATTTAGAAAACAAATTTTTTAAAATGTTTTACTCTGACTGCCAAAATGCAGTTAAAAATATGTGAATAGTGATTATTTTGTTTTTAATGATAAGCAAACTATTCTGTTCAAAACACAATGTTTTTAGAAATATTTTTTTCGAAATTAAATAAATAAATTTTATTATTATACATATGGTTTTTAACAAATGCTTTACAAAATTAAATTAACGTTTCTCATAATTTTTATTTATTACACAATTTTATATTATTAATAAACTTATATAAATAAATAAAATTTTATTTAATTTCTTTAAATGTTTGCTGTAAATGTTTTATATAAAGAAGTCTCATTCACAAATCACCATTCATTGTTTGTAGAAATTTGTGCTCTAATTTCAACAGAATGACATAAGTTAACATGAAAAAATGAGTTTTTAAATTGAAGTAACTTTTACTTAAAGTAACAATTTACTAAAGTAAATTGAAATAACTTTACCTCAATTGAAAAAACTAAAGCAATTAAATAATCTGAAAAGAGATATTTTGTTTTTAACAATAAGCAAACTTTTTTGTTTAATTAAACAAGAATCATTAACAAAAACTTTTATTAAAAAAATTTAATATAAAATCAAGTAAACCATTATTAGTTTTCTCCCTCCCAAATTTTTAGGACGAGCGCAGTTTTTTACTCTTGTAACTAAATTAGCGAGCGTTTTTTATTGTGCCCGCAATTTATAAATTCCATTAACGAGCGTGTTTCACGTGACGGGAGTGATCGCTCCCAATTCATGCCAAGGCTTGCAATTTGTAATAAGGTAAGAAGTAAACATCTTGATGCTAAAGCCACACTTAATTGACAAGTTAAACTTTTAAGTAGTGAAGCAAGAAAAAATGCATAGGTATACAAATATGCTTGAATTTTAATACCAGGGTGATAATAAATAGTAAACCATTGATAGGTATATGAATTAAGCAGTAAAAATAAGATTAATGACTGAATACTTATACAGGAGTGGCTATCAAGTAAGTAGTATGTTATTAACAGTGCTGAAGTCCTTTTTTGTATTATGCTGTTTATAATGCTTTTTACATACCAGGACTAAATTTGAAGGTTTTTCATTATGCTTATGATAATATGTTTTTATTATTATTATGTATGTATTATGATTATGATTAGTATACACTTACCTATATTATTTAAAATTATACGTAATGAATTTTATTATTTTTTATTAACATCTTTGCTACCAACAAGTCTGGAAAGCAACCACTATAAGAGTTGGAAGTTACTAGAAAGGAAAAGATGAAGATTGTTGAGCAAGATTCATCTATTAGGCTGGCGCAGATGTATTTTTAATACATTGTTTCCAGTTTAGGATGTTGAATGCTGGATCTTTTTGACTCGATGCATGTGTTTTGCTTGTTTCTCTGTTTTTATAACTAGGCAACTCATTCTATTATCTCCTAATGAGGGTACAGCTCTAAAACTCAGTTTTATGGTTCTGAGGCCGGCTGGTAGTCAGGTTTCCCGAACTCTGTGGTAGCTCTCAGAGAGGCTGATTCCATCAACAGCTGAAAAATATCAAAGTACTAACAGTGCCATGTTGCGCATGGATGGTGTCCCCGTTTGTACTTTTAGTGTGCATTGCCAAGGCCACATTGGAGCCCTTTGTTACGGCTTAGGGTTTATTAATAGTAATGAGGCAAATGCTTGGGCTATAAGACAGTGTACTGAGTACTATCTATGTTTCGAGTCAAGTTCTTTAACAAATTTAAAAATGAATAAAGTAACAAAAACTATAAAACACAAAAAACCACTGTCATCACCAAGTTTGCTAAACCTATCATTCATTATTATTCGTGTTCTTCGAAGTAACTTTTTTTCTGTCAAGTCTTATCTCTTGCAAAGTTCACCAGACCTACTTGCGCTTTGTGAGACTAATTTGAGTTCTTCTGTCTCATCTTGTGATCTTAGTGTTGGTGGTTATCTCCCTTTAATTCGTAAAGACTCCAATAGTCACATGCTTGGCCTGGGCATTTACATTCCTAAGAATTCAACCATTTGTCGTGAAACTAGGTTTGAATCCACAGACTACTCTTTTATGTGCTTTCGTTTAGCACCACTTTCTCTTATTCTTCTTCTATATCGCTCTCCTTCATCTCAAGACTGCACTCTTCTTGATGTTATTTCTGATCATATTGACCAAGCCCTCTTTCTTTATCCATCAGCCAATAATGTTGTTGTCGGTGACTTTAATGCTCATCACACTGAATGGCTTGGCTCTATTGTCAGTGACTCTGCAGGCATTAAAGCCCACAACTTTTGCCTTTCTAAATCCCTAACTCAAATAGTCAACTTTCCAACTCGCTTTCCAGACAACCTGAATTATTTACCTTCTCTACTTGACTTATGTCTTGTTTCTGATTCTAGTCAGTGCTCAGTTTCTCCACATTCATCCCTTAGGTGCCTCTGATCATAGTTTTCCTCTTTATCATCAGAATCCCCCTATCATCGTACATCTTACAACTACCTTAAAGCTGACTGGGACTCTTTCCGTGATTTTCTTCATGATGGCCCTTGGGTAGAAATCTTTTGTCTTTCTGTTGATAAATGTGGTTCTTACATAACTTCGTGGATTCAGGCTGGTATGAAATCCTTTATTCCCTCTCGATGATTCCAGGTTAAGCCTCACTCTTCTCCATGGTTTTCCTCACATTGTGCTGCTGCAATTGCCAATTAAAACCATTACTTCCATATCTATCAGCAAAACAATTCTCCAGAAAACAGATGTCTGTTTATAAATGCTTTGAACCATTGTAAAAAGGTTTTGTCTATCGCCAAAGCCCGGTAGTCTCAGATCATGAAATCTTGTATTTCATCACAAAAATTAGGCTCTCATGACTTCTGGAGTATCTTTAATAGTATGGATAATAAGGGCGAGTCTGTAATTCCACCTCTTTGGTATGGTTCAGACTTTGTCACCTCACCTAAAGACAAAGCTGAATTGTTTGCTAAGAACTTTTCATCGATATCATCTCTTGATTCCACTAGTTGCATTCTTCCTGATATAGCCGTCAAATAGGTTGATCCATTGCTCGACATCCGTATCACTCCAGCTTCTGTATCTAAAGTGATTTCCTGCTTGGACTCTTCTACATCTTGCGGCCCAGACAACATACCTGTTATAGTCTTGCAGAAGTGTTCTCTGGAGCTATCGTCTATCCTTTCAAAACTTTTCAACAAGTGCTTATCAGAGTCTTGTTTTCCAGCCTGCTGGAAAGCAGCATCTGTTATCCCTATTTTTAAAAATTCTGGAGAGCGATCTGATTCATCAAACTACCGTCCCATTAGTCTCCTTCCTATCATGAGCAAGGTTTTTGAATCTTTAATTAACAAACACTTAATCTCTTATCTTGAATCTAACAACTTACTTTCTGATCATCAATGTGGATTTCGATCTTCTCGTTCTACGGTTGATTTGCTAACAGTATTAACCGAAAGGTTTTATCGCGCGTTAGATAAAGGTGGAGAGGTTAAGGCCATCACTCTTGACATTTCTAAAGCATTTGATAAAGTTTGGCATGCTGGTCTTCTCCATAAGCTTTCTTCTTACGGTGTATCTGGAAACATCTTTAAAATTATTGAATCCTTCCTTTCCAATCATATTATAAAAGTTGCCTTTGATGGACAGCACTCTTCTTCTTATTCTGTAACCTCAGGGGTTCTGGGATGGATCTTCTAATGATGCCCTTTCTCTTTTAGACAAAGTGCAAAAACGCATTGTAAAACGCATAGTTGGACTTGCTCTTGCAGCCAACCTTTAACTTTTGTCACATCGCCCTAATGTTGCTTCTCTTTTTTTCTTTTCTACAAATACTATAATGGGCACTGCTCTAAAGAGCTAGTGTCTCTTGTGTTATCTAATAAAATTCATTCTCGTGTTACTCGTCATTCAATTAAGTCTCATCCTTTTTCTGTGCTCCAAAAACTCTTATTTGTCTATTTTTTTTCCTCGAACATCAGTTCTTTGGAATTCGCTTCCTTCATCTTGCTTTCCTGATTCATATAGTTTGCAATCTTTTAAGTCATCTGTCAATTGTTATCTTGCTCTACAATCTTTATCTTTTCTCTTCCAGTAACTTCCAACACTATGACGATCGACAGATGACGATCGACAGACAACTTGAAAGATAGCAAATTATATGAATCAGAAAAGCAAGATAAAGATGAATTCCAAAGAACTGATGTTCGAGGACAAAAACTAGGCAAGTAAGAGTTTTTGGAGCATTCAGGAACAGTCATAGAAAAAGGATGAGACTTGATTGAATGACCAGTAACACAGGAATGAATTGTAGTAGATGGCATAAGAGACGCTAGCTCTTTAGAGCAGTGCTCATTATAGTATATGTAGAAAAGGGGAACAACATCACGACGATGTGATAATGGTTGGAGGTTAGCTGCAAGAGCAGGTCAAATTAGATTTAATATGCGTTTTTGCACCTTATCTAAAAAAGAAAGGACATCATTAGAAGATCCATCCCAGATATGGCATCAGTATTCCATACAAAGAAGAATTTGAGACTTAAAGAGATAAAGAATAGAATCCAAAGTAAGAAAGTGTTAAGCACAATAAAGAGATGCAACTTTAGCAGATGTTAATTTTGCAATAGATTTGATATATGGTTTTGGAACTAGGAGTTAATCCAAGAAGATGAAGGGTTGATGACTCATCAAGTACATCACTGTTCATAAATAAAGGAAGATCTAAATTATTGTGGTAATGATTTGCTGAAAAATGTTGGGTTTTATCTGAATTAAAGTTCACTAACTACTGTGAGCCCTATGCTGCAGCAGTAGTGAGATCCTTTCCAAGCTCAAATGCCCCCTCCAAGCAATCAGAGAAAGTTGGCTTCTTATCAAGACAAGAATAAATGGTAGTATCATCAGCAAACAATGCCATCTTAGATATAAGAATATCTGGAAGATCGTTAATGTAAATTAAATAGAGTATAGGGTGAAGGATAGAACCTTAAGGAGCCCCTGAAGTTGCAGGATATGAAGAGGAGTGCTGTCCATTGAGGACAACTTTTATACTACGATTTGAAAGGAAGAATTCAACAATCTTAAGGATGTTACCAGATACACTGTAAGAAAAAAGCATATGGAGAAGAACAGCATGCCAAACTTTATCAAAAGCTTTAGAAATAACAAGAGCGATAGCCTTAACCTCTCCACCTTTATCTAATTCATCACAAAACCTATTGGTTATTACTGTTAGCGAATCAGCTGTAGAACGAAATGATCAGAATCTGTATTGATGATCAGAAAGTAAGTTGTTAGATTCAAAATGAGAGATTAAGTGTTTGTTAATTAAAGACTCAAAAACCTTGCTTATTATAGGAGGAGAACTAATGGGACAGTAGTTATATGAGTCAGATCGTTCTCCAGAATTTTTGAAAATTGAGATAACAAATGCCACTTTCCAGCATGTTGGTAAATAAGACTCTGAGTAGCACTTTTTAAATAGTTTTGAAAGTATAAACAACAGCTCCGTAGAACATTCCTACAAGAACACAACAGGTATGTTGACCGGACCACACGCTGTAGAAGAGTCTAAGCAGGAAATCACTTTAGATAAAGAAGTTGGATGGATACGAATGTCAAGCAATGGATCATCAGGTAGAACACGACTAGTGGAATCAAGAGATGATATTGATGAGAAGTTCTTAGCAAACATTTCAGCTTTGTCTTTAGGTGAGGTGACAAAATCTGTACCATACAGGAGAAGTGGATTAACTGATTGGTCCTTATTATTGATAGTATATTAAGGCTAATTTTTGAGATGAAATGCGAGATTTCATGACCTGAGAATAGCGGGCTTTGGCGTTAGACAAAACCTTTTTACAATGGTTCCTAGCAGTAATAAAGAAACGTCTGTTTTCTGGAGAATCGTTTTGCTGATAGATATGGAAGTAACGGTTGGAAATTGCAGCAGCACAATGTAAGGAAAACGATGGAGAAGAGTGAGGCCTGACCTGGAATTGTTAAAATGGAATAAAAGATTTCATGCCAGCCTGAATCTATGAAGTTATTTTTATTCAAAATTTTGTAGTTAAAAAAATCCTCTAAATTAAATGCAAAATCTCCTCTAAAATCCTCTAATATCCTCTTTTTTTTACAAAAATTTTATGTGGCCACCCTGAAATGAGTATTTTTATAGAGACACCATCTCTAGCCTTTACTCAACCAAGAGTCCCAAGGCAGGGTGTGTTAAGTCTTTATTTAACTCATTCTATTAACTAATGCTCTAAGCAAACTGACCATGATATAAGAAAATAGTTGTTTTTAAATGTAACATAATATTTGTTAAGATTCAATATTAACAACTTTTTTTGAACACAGTTTTTCTTAACATTAACAAACCTTTTAGTCAGTCTTTATAAAAAAACTTTTTAACACGTTTTTTGTCTTTTTTTTAAAACATTTTTTTTTCAAGCATTTTCTTCCTTTTTAAACTCTTTCAGATTAAGTAACTGTCAAAAGTTTCTTTAATAGCTTAAAAAAATAAAAATGAAAAATAACTTTTTTTTTTCCCTAAAAAAAAAAAAAAAGTTAGATTATTTTTTTTCTTGGATAAAAAAAAATCAATTTTTTTTAAAAGTATGCAAATAAAAAAATCTTAAATATCTAAATTTTTAAGATATTTAAGATTTCATTAAACTTTAATTAAAATAAAACCTCTACTATAGATGTAACTCTTTATTTGTAATTAATTTGCATACAATATTTCAAGAGATTATAAATACCCTTATTGTCAAGTATACACACACACACACACACACATATATACATATGTGTATATACTTGACAATGACAAATTATATTTTAAACTCTTTAATGATGTCTTTTAAAATTCATTAAGATCAAATCAATTAAGATATGTCCATATTAATTTATGAGTCAGAGTTTTTTTCAGAAAAAATAAGATTTTAAAAGTAGAAGTTGAGTTTTTGCTATAATTTTTTAATCTGGATGGGTGGAATACTTTTTTTCTGAAATTGTAAAAAGTGTCTACTTTTTACAATTTCAGTTTTTATAACAAGAATTCTGTTTGGTTAAACTTATTACCGTAACTAGATTCTTATGGCTAATTAACACTGAATAAAGATTTTTTACTTAAGTATATACATTTAAAAAAATTCCAATTAATTAGGACTTTTACATAAAACTCTAACTTTTCAGCATGAATGAGACTTTTCTAGGAATATGGGGTTCTCTATGCTTGAAAGGAGACTTTATTATTAGGCAATTTTTTTTTTCTTTTTTTTTTTTTCTAAACATCTTCGCTCCCATTCACTTCATTCACAAGGCTGCAAGCGCCACATTTAGATTCGAAATGACTGGAAGTCAAAAGATAAAGTTTATAAAGCAAGATAATAGATTAATCTCTAAAAATGTTAAAAAGATCTCAAGAGATTTTTTTTAATAATGAACAACTGAACATGTTAACATTTGTTATACTGTAGAATTTCTTTAATTCAAATTTTAAATTTAAGGTTGTAATATTGCGTCAGTTTTTATCTTTATCACTTCTAATGAGAAACATTGTAATGTATCTATATTGCATTAAATAATGTAATTATTATTTATGTTTCATGTGCAACCTCAGTGTAAGGTGGTATTGTTATATTTCCAAGGCTGTGAAGGCCAACTAAAGTTAAGGAGCATAGTCTTGCCCAAGGTATTGTGTAGTAAAAGATTATATTATATAAATCAAAAGGGGTGTTTATGTCAATTTTGTTTATCCTTGTCAATTTTTTATTTTTGAAAATGTTCTAAAATTCTACTTTTATATAGACGTAAGACTTTGCGCCCTTATTTTTGAGGCTTCATAATAATGTCTGATTACTTCTTCTCTTATTAATTTTTATTATTTTATTAAAATTTTAGGTCAACAAATGGCTTATTTATCACCACAGCAAGTTATAGGAGTTCAACCTCAGTTGCCTCCAGCTCATGTATACCATGGTCGTCGTTCTTCTTTCAATCCTTCAGATGCTGATGAATCAAGGATCAATCAAAGACAAGTTCCTTTGCCCATTGATTTAAACTTGAGTAACCATGTTCCTGCAAATCCTTGGGGTATACCATACTCTCCTCCAGTAAATACTATTAATCCTCAATTTTCATATCAAGGTTTACCTCAATCTAGATGGATAAATGAGCAAAATTCTTTACTTTCACCTGAATATAGGGATTCCGGACTATTTTCTTCTCTTTACCGACAAGTATCTACAATGCAAACATTTCAGCAACAGCGAGACACTCAGCAAAAATCTGATCTTGAACAAGAGCGAGAAGTGCGCTCAGTTTTTCAAAGAGACCAAGAAACATTAGCTCGTGAATCTAATATTCATCATGAAGTACAAAATAGAAGTCATTTCCATCGTGATGATATAATTGATGTGCAGCAAAGCATTAATAGGCAGAATAATCAAGCTTTTAGTCCTAGAGAAACTTTTAATTCTGATCAACACATTCATCAAAGTCAACGGGATATTTTTTTGAGCAAGGACACTTTGATTATTGATCCCTATTTACGCCAGAGTTCCCAGGTTGACACAAGAACAGCTAATAATCAAGGTTCCATTTCAGATCTTAACAAGCAAAGTATTACAAATCAATCTCTCATATATTATCCAGAGGCTTCAGCAACTAACAATGACAATTTTAACTGGCAATCATCTGGGTTAATATCAGGTTCAAATGGTCACCAATACTCAAAGTCATCCATTGATGACTCATTTTTAAACAGCTTGGACACAAGAGCATTAATAAGTAGCCAGTATTTAAATAGCCAGACTTTAATAAATAATCAAATGACTATTAGAGAAAATGTTCATGTAAATAAACACCTTGAAGACATTGATTTTAAAATTGATCAACATATATCTGCAATTCATATGAACCAACAGAATAAAGTTTTAGATACAAGGAAGCCAAATAGTGATCAGAACCAGCAAAATTCTATGTATATGACGCCTAGATTTGAAAATGTTATAGAAGATCAAGTTCTACAAAGTGATCGGTTGTCAAAATATTCTGCAAAACAAAATTCAATTAATCATGAATCCATTACCTCACAGGATGCTGTAATCAGTTTTAATCCGTACTTGAATGCTTCGAGTGAGCATAAACAAAACTCACGCAGCAATGAATTTTTGCGGAACACTAACACTAAAAAAAGTGGAACTACTGTTTCATCTCCTAACCAAATTTCCTTTTCTCAGAACAATTCTGTTCAAGCCACACAAAATAGTGCTGTTAACATAAATATTAACATAAATATGCCAGCAAATCATCCAGCTTTTCCATATAGTTTTTCTCAAAAGCAAGCTCTGCAAACTAGAGAACCTTCAATTGTGAACTCTAAACCATCCAACTTTTCTGGGGTTGATGATGATCCTTGTTTTGATTTTGAAACCAGTCAACCAACCTTTAATGCATCAAAGTCAATAAGTAAATCTAATCCAAATAGAAGTTCTCATAAGCCAAAGATTTCACAAATGAGTTCAGATACTTTACTAAAAAGCAAAAGTAAAGAATTTCAATCAAACTCAAGTGTAAAAACAACCGAGGATACTTTTAAACAAGGTATGTTACATCATATTTCTGATGTTGCTTTAGGATTACAAAATGAATCTAACACTCTTGAGCATAAACCAAAAATGAAGTTCAGCAGTATAGAATGCTTACTAGGAATGAAATCACAATCTGGTAATAGAACTGTTGATGCGAATGCTCTACATGTTAATGAATCAAGCCTTGAGCTTGCACGTAATGCAATGGAGAAAAAAGAAAGAATTTCTGTTATTAAACCTCTTCCAGCTGAAAATTTTTCATTTGAGGAAAAAACTGATGTAGACAGTTCATACTCAGTTTCTTCAGTAACCTGTTTATCAAAGCCATTAGTATCTCAAAGTTTATGTAAAAAAGAAACCCTTTTGAATGATAATGTTATTCCAAAAACACCTATTTTAAATTCTACTATTAGCAATCCTATGTCTCCACCTTCAAGTCCTATTCTTACTTTATCCCCAACTGGAATGAAGCCTGTTCATCCATCATTACGGTTACAAAATAATTCTTTAAAAACAACCCAAAATGACAACATAAGACCATTAGAACAAACTTCAAATTCTCTGGCTTCACACACAGAACAATTAATTTCATCCCAACAAACTAGCAAACCTGGCAATCATCCTGTTCACACTGGAAAACCAGCTAGTTTTTCTTCCTCATTTTCTGAAAAGCGAATCAGTGGAAAACCATTATCTTATTTACAATCAATGAACCAAATAAAAAAGACAAACGATAATAACCTTTCTACAAAGAAAACATGCAATAATGAGGTTTTAAGAAAAGGATTATTAAATAAAGCTAAAAATACACCTATTAAACCACTTTTACTTTCAACAGACAATATGAAAACGAATACTTGCAACTCTTTAAGTATATCATCATCAGCTAATCAAGTTACCAAAAAAGTTATTCCTAGCGGTAAACCATATGCTCAGTTAAAACAAATGGCATTTGAAGATAATGCAGGCAATAGTGGTTCAATGTCTTCATCGTCTGAAGAAGGTAAACAATTTTTATTACTATAGTTTACACAAAATTGCTTTTTAACTTGAAATTGTGAGGTTAATAAAACTGATACAATTTTTTAATTTATCCTTTAAACAATGTTTAAATTTTATTTGAAAAAATACACTGTTACTATAAGACATGCACTGTTATACACTGTTATTATAAAATTATTATAAAATATACAATGTTATTATAAAAAATACACTGTTGTTATAAGGTACACATTGTTATATACTGTTATTATAAGATTATTATAAGATATACACTGTTATACACTGTTATATAATTAAAATTAAGTTTGAGTATAATATTTCAGCATTTGAGGCATTTCAAAAATTCAGTATTTGATAAAATAATGAAAAAATATAGTTTTTATCAAACAGAAAATATTAATTGTTGCAACTGATAATAACTACTGTTGTTGATTTGTTTTGATTTTAAAATGAAATGTCAAATCTCAAAATCTCAGAAGATAGAGTGGTTATGTTAATTAAAAGTATGTCTGGTGGAGATGTTTCATATTAGATTTTAATCTTTTTTCATTTTACACTCCAGAAACACATAAAGCTGGAGAAAAGGTTCTATAATGGTAGCGTGTGAACATTGGCAATTAAAAAATCATTTGTTTAAAGTTTTACTTTATTTATTTTTCCAGTGTATCTTGGTATCTTGCTGCATAATAAACTTTTTTAAATAGTATATTACATTCTAACTCTGAAAAGTAAAATGTCTTTTTTATGTTCCATTTTGTATTTGATGTTGTAAGTGTTTTTACTTCATAAGGGTACATTTTGTAAATTTTATGTTTTTTATTATAAGTTAACAAAATTCTACTTCTTTGTTGCTTAATTGGATTTTTGCAGAAGTTAGTGTTAGAAGATTGATTGTTTTAATACAATTACTGGCTAGATGAAAAAAAAAAACATTTTTACCTTTTTTTTCCACCTTTTTTTCCTTTTCATTTAAAGATAGATTAGGCAGGAAGTTTGCTTCAGTTAAAAATGTTTGACATATCAAGTTGCTATAAAAAATCGGTTAATTATTACTGTCTGGATTTAACAGTAACATTATCATAATGATAATGTTACTTTAATAGTAACATTATCATGATATTCATATTTTTTTAAAAAAAACATTTTCAGTTTTTCAGTTATAAATGATCTAAAAACGATAATGACCTACAATTAACCCAATTCTCCAAAGGTATAGCATGATTTTTTTTAAATGTCCAAATAAACTACTTTTGTCATTATTTCCTTTATTTTCACAATATCACCTGTAGCATTGTGAAAATAGAGGGAATGTTCAAGTTGTTAAAAAAAGCTGTTTAAGGCTAAATTTTTTTCAGTTTGATTTTGGAGAGCTGGTCTTGAGAGTTTTGTATTTTACTTTTTTTAGTAACATTATCATGATATTCATATTTTTTAAGTTGAGTTTTTTGTTCTGTTAAATGTTGTTTTTTAGTTCTGTTAAGTATTATTTTTTAGTTCTGTTAAATGTTGTTTTTTAGTTCTGTTAAATGTTGTTTTTTAGTTCTGTTAAATGTTGTTTTTTAGTTCTGTTAAATGTTGTTTTTTAGTTCTGTTAAATGTTGTTTTTTCTTTGTTGTAATCAAATGTAAAAGCAATTATTCTTTTAGTAAGATGATTTGAATTGTTTACTTTTATATGTTATAGTTGATTACTGATGTAGTTTAAGTAGTCGTATTTTTTTATTTCTTTATAAAATGTCTATTTACTTCTGTTTTTTAAGAATGATTGATCTAAGGAATCTTATATCAATCATTCAATTTACTTTAGATCTTAGAAGGAATAGACATTTATGAAGTTTTACAGTTATGTAGAAATTGTAAATATAATATGTGACATAACTTATTTCATTAGACACATTTACCAATCATTTTTTGAGATCTCTAAAAACATTTTTATTATATAAGTGTTTGTGTGTATTGTTTTATATCAGAATCAAAGTAAAAAGAATTCTTATTGGTTGTAGGCAAATATTTTGGGCTTTTTAAGATATGTTATACTTAAAATATTATCAGATATTTGGTGGTTAAAGTTGATGACCTTTGTTTGTCCTTTATATGAATTCAGCTCAATTAGATTTTTTGAAGCTATTAAATCTGATGTTTGATTATGGTCAATACCAATATTGGTTGAGCTAGAGATATAGAGCAATTGATCATCTTGATGTTTTTGCAAATTTTTTTGAATTTAGATTTTTAGATTAATTGAGAGTTGGTACAAACTTCAATTATTACAAATTTTAACTGTACAAATTAGCATGTTGTTTACAATACTACTAGGGGTGTGGTGGGTTTTAAACCCAGTACCTCTGCTAGTGTAATATCTCTGCTACTACGCACCACAAACACTCTGCCACTATATTCATTGTTATTGTTACAATTTCCATTGTTATTGTTACATTTTGTTCACTAGTATCATCAAAAGTGTTGTAAATTTTTTAATTTGTTAAAGAGTCAAGTGATGAGTTTGAACAAGAAGAAGATGAGATGTCACATTCTAGCATTAGTTCTTCATTTATTTCACAAGACATGGATATCACTGGAGTCAAGAGAAAAGCAAGTCACGATCTTGAAGTATCTGGAAGTAAGTTGGAAAATAATTTTGTATTTTAACACATTTTTAATACAATGCACTCCTCCCAAGTTCTACCCATTTAAGTCAGTCAAAAAAAAGTCAAGACAGCTGTGTTTGTTTTTTATCTACACTTTATATATATATATATATATATATATATATATATATATATATATATATATATATATATATATATATATATATATATATATATATATATATATATATATATATATATATATGTATATATATATATATATATATATATATGTATATATATATATATATATATATATATATATATATATATATATATATATATATATATATATATATATATATATATATGTATATATATATATATATATATATATATATATATATATATATATATTCTATCTATTTCAGAAAACTTCAATATGTTGTGATTTGAATTCTATTTTCAGACATAATATTATGGCAAAAGGAACATTAAACTCTTCACTTTGCTAATTCAGCTAAATGATAATTAAATTAATATTATTAAATGATTACTAAATTAGCATTTATAATTAAATGATAACTAAGTTAGCATTGTTTTGGTTCAAATAAATGGGCAACTAAGATTTTATTTCTGCCCCATGTATAGTCTATATTACTCATTTTTATAATTAACACTTAATATTAAAGGGATCCCAAACTCCCAACACATGTTATGTTCATATTAAAAATAATATTAAAAAAAAAAGGTTTGAACCAAACTTTTTTGATTAAAAATAAATAATGAATGCATACCGTGAAAAACAAATGTTGTTGTTTTTGCCGAAGCTTGTCTTCATTTTTTTCAACCACTCGGAGTCTTCAAGTTATGCGTCGCAATCTACAGACTTTGGCAATTCCTTTGAAGCGCGTTTAATTCATAAAAGTTTTAGTATTTGACGTCACGGTAGACTTTTAACAAATGAAACTCTAGAAATATTTTTAATTATTTTTATTTGAAATTTTTTTGATTTGTTTAGTTGTTTTTTTTTCTATTTTTAACATTCAAAAAGATATTAAAAACCTCAAATATTTTATGCTGGTTCGTTGCTATAAATTGTTATTGCGCCATATATTTAATGTTTATAAATTATGAGTATTTATTATCTGAAAAATTGTTTTACATTAATTACCTGTATAAAATAAGTAACAGCTTTTTTATTTGGTTAGACGATATTTCTTTTCAATTTGCTTTGCATGAAGTTCGGAAAGTCAAATGAAAAAAATTAGTTTGAATAATCACGTCGAAATATATTTAAAACAAATTATTTTAATGACGGGGGTTCTAAAGTTTTTTATAACAAATGTAGGTAAAAAAAATAAATAAATAAATAAAAAGTTCAGTATTAAACACCATTTCTTTATTATATTGCAACTGTAAATATTGAATTATTAACTTGAACTAAATTTACTTATTTAGAACGACTAAGCCATAAAAATGAAATTGTTGATTTATTTCTAATTTAATCTCAAACTATAATTATATGTTAAAAAAGAAAAGTTTTTATTTCATCGGGCGCTCTTTTTATAAAAGAGTAGAACAAAAGAGAAAGAAAAGTTTTGCGCGATTAAACTTTGAATGAATAAGAGTTGTATAGAATACATATATTTTTTGCGTCACTTGTTCTTTTTTTAGATAAGAGAAATTAAAGTTTAATAGTAAATTTTCTTTGAATAAATGAGAATTGGAAGAGAAAATTGCTTGAAAATTTGTATTTGTTAATTGTGTTTTTAAAAATTTTTAATTTTTCATGTTAAGAGACACATGCCAATTACGACACAAATTTGGAAATACCAAATATAATGTTTTTTAATGCGCGTTATGACATTTTAACAATTTAAATTACCATCTATCTTGAATTATTGCCTTTAATTAATGTGTTAATTATTGCGTTATTTAATAATAATTTGTCCGTATTTTTGTTAAATATTAGTTGTATATAACGGGCGAAAATATATAAACTTCATGTTTTTTATTTGATGGTTATAAAATATTTAACAGTAAACTTATAATCAAAATTTATAATGCCGACTTGTGTTGCAATTAATTGTACTTTTAATGCAAAATCAGGATCTCACATATCCTTTCACAAATTTTCATATCTGATACTACTGTCAACTGTATTGTTTAGTGTATTCTTGTACTTTTTTTTCATAATCTTAACAGGTTCTAATTGGTATGGAGTTGGTGACATTTTAAAAATTTCATCAAAAATTAAATGTAAAATAAAATGGTATTTCCTTTTTATCTGTATCCAATTCAGCAAATTTAGCAATTTAAATTAAATCAGCGTGATCAAAAAAATTTATAATAAAAAAAGTTAACAATTCATTAAATATCTCTAATTAATACTGTCAGTTTATGAAAGTAATTGTTAATAAATACTTTTTTTCAACGGGAAAACAAAAAATTGTCATAGCGTAAAAATAACCAGAGAAGTTAGAAAATAGTTCCCATTGTTTAAATAAAAATAATTAAGAATCAGAATATATAATACTGCGCTCTCTTGCGCAAAAACAAAAGACCTTATATAAAACGTTCTATATAATGTAAAATACTCGTATGAAAATCATGAGATTGGTAACTAAAGCTTTAATATTTGTTTTAATTTAAATAATTAAAGAAATATAAGTAAGATATATAAATCTAAAAATTATTAAGATATCTGTAAAAAATAAGTTGCTCCTATAAAATAAAAATAATTTATTGTTTTTACTTTTTACAAAATTTTTTTTGCGATGTTTGGAAAAATAATACAAATAAATTTGTTTTGCTGTACAGTCATGTGCATGAAAATAGCAGTGGGAGAAAATTATTTATAAAATACATTTAATTTTTTTACTGATGGTTAATTTTGTATATTTTATTCTCTAAATATTTTCTGTTAGGGTTTTTAAATATAAAGAGGTTGGCAATATTGCTGTTTATACACACATGTATCAGAATTTAAATTAAATTATAAAATTTTGCTTTATTAACTGTGCGTTATAATAGCAGTGAATATACACTTTATTTTCTATTAGTGCCTTAAAAGTTGTTTTTACCATCAATTTTTTTTATACATTAAGGTAAGTGTTTGTTCATTAAAATTAAACGATATTTTATTAAGTTTCACAATTTTATTACAGTTAAAATGGGTAGAGCAAAACATTGTTCCAATGAGAAGCGTCAAATAATTTTAAATATGTTAAAAGATGGTAAAACTTACAAATTCATCCAAGATGCTTTACAATGTTCTGCAAAAATGATTTCCAATGCCAAAAAATGGACACAAAAAGCGGAATTGCGTGGGGGAAAATTTAAAACGTCATTGAAAACGAACCGTAAAATTATTAGATGTGCGAAGATAAATCCTTTTATGAGTTCCACAGCCATAAAAACGGAATTAAATTTACCAATATCGTCCTCGACAGTGAGAAGACGTTTGATAAAAGCCAATTTAAAAGCCAGAAGGCCCAGAAAAACTCCACTTCTAAATAAGAGACTGATTAAAAATCGAATCGCATTTGCTAAAGAGCATCAAGAATGGTCATCATCGAAATGGCGTAATATTCTTTGGAGTGATGAGACTAAAATTGTTTTATTTAATCCAGGTATTCACGAAAAGTTTGTACGAAGACCCCCACGAACAGAATATAATATAAAGTATACCACCAAGACAATAAAACATGGTGGCTGCCAGGTGATGGCATGGGGTTGTTTTTCTTGGTTTGGATTGGGCCCTATTTTTTGGATCAAAGACATCATGGATGCAACTGCTTATGTTAAAATACTGCAAGAAGTCATGTTACCATATACAAAAGAAGAAATGCCTTTGAAGTGGATCTTTATGCAGGATAATGATCCTAAACACACCTCTCGTAAAGCTAAAAATTGGTTTGTAGAGAATAAGGTTGAGGTAATGAACTGGCCAGCACAATCCCCAGACCTGAACCCGATAGAAAACCTGTGGGGGGATGTTAAAAGAGCAGTATCTTTGTCTAGACCAGCCAATAAAGAGGAACTCTGGAGAGCAGTTGAAGCAGCTTGGAGAGCTATTCCCTTAGAAAGATGTCGTCATCTAATCGAGTCAATGCCACGAAGATGTAAAGCAGTATTGAAAAATAAGGGTCATGGAACTAAGTATTAGATGTATTTTCAAAAGATGAATAAATAGTTTTTCATCAATGTTATATTTTATTTACTTTTTTAATGGTAAATCTGCATTCATTAAATGTGATAAAAGTACCTTTTTTAAAAAAATGGTAGTATGATATTGTCCATTTAAGTTTAAAAGCTTTTTTTAGACTAAATAGTGTCAGATAACACTTAATAACGAAAAATTAACAATTACGGTCCGAAATTATGCATATCATTAAATTTAATAAGGTTTTTTTATAATTTTTTGTGCCACTGCTATTTTCATGCACATGACTGTATGTTAAAAAAATACTACAGTAGAAAAATGCAGCTCAGTTTAATTGCACTTTTATTTTGTTAAAAGTCTACCGTGACGTCAAATACTAAAACTTTTATGAATTAAACGCGCTTCAAAGGCATTGCCAAAGTCTGTAGATTGCGACGCATAATTTGAAGACTCCAAGTGGTTGAAAAAAATGGAGAAGATGAGCTGCGGCAAAAACAACAACATTTGTTTTTCACGGTATGCATTCATTATTTATTTTTAATCAAAAAAATTTGGTTCAAACCTTTTTTTTTAACATTATCTTTAATATGAACACAACATGTGTTGGGAGTTTAGAATCCTTTTAAGAAAAATATGTAAAATATAAATAAAAGTAAATAAGTAAAAACTTACAGTTTATAGAAAGGTTGTTGGATCCAAAAAAAAGTAATTAAATTTTTTTTTTCAATAATCTACTATTTGACAGTGTGTTAATTATCACAGTTTTTTTATGTATCATAAGCGTTCATTTGAACCAAAACAATATCAATTTAGTCCTGCTAATAAGCTTTCAAGAAGAAAACCTGTTCCAGCACGGCAGCTTTTTGTTAAAGATGAAATTTTACTTAGTTTGATGATCCCATGGAGCTGCTATCTTCTGCCCTGTCCTTGGTTTGATCAAACAAATTTACTATTACTTTCAATGATCCTCCACCTATACATATACACATACATATTTATGATATAAATATGTTAAAATAATATATTCAAAAGTATGTTTTCAAAAAGACGATTATTAAAATATAAATACAAATATCTGAATTCATCCCAATCTTTACAAATGTGTTTTGTGGAACCTGCCCTCGAAATTTTATTACAAAATCCAGAAATGTTGTAATATCTTTGATATATACTAAGTCTCTTTTTACTGTAGCATAGTGGTTATCTTTTTGCTTTTCTTGAAAGTCTAATAATTCAGTGACATAATACAATGCTTGCGATGAATTGGGAGCGATCGCTCCCAACACTTGAAACATGTTGAAACAAATAACGCTCACTAGTTTCATTATGAGTGTAAAAAATTGCACTCATTTATTTGGTTGATGTATTAGCGCTATTTGTTGCGCCCGGAAGTTCATTTACAGGCGTGTTTCATGTGTTCAGAGGGATCGCTCCTGATTCATCACAAGGCCTGATAATTGTTTTTTTTTTTTTTAACATGTTCGCTTCTAAGAATAAAAGTAGTTTACTTTTTTTATCCAGGGTTTTCTCCATGTTTGACTTTTACACCACTTCTCCTCAAATTTTTAACATTTCATTAAACTTAGACTGACTAAGTCCTAAGGTATTTACCAAAGCTTCTACCTTATTGTAAGGAATATTTCTCTGATCACTTTCTGGAGCACCAAGTGTAATATGAATACATTTACCTCCTTAATATAAGACAACTGTTAGTTTTTAAGAATAATAGTTTATCATAAGATAAACTTTTATTTTAAGAATATATATCATAGCTATTTTTATTTAACAATATTTTACCTGTTCTAAAAATGGTTTGAGCTCCTAAACTTTGCTTTTGATCCCAATAAATTTCTTTAAGTAAGGAAGAAGCTTCTTGTTCCTTTACTTTTTTAGAAATTTTAGAAATATTCTCAGAAAGATTTGTGCTAGCCTTAAAAGGTTAACATTTGTGGGAACATTTGTTGTACCTTATGCAATTTCACAGAAGCATATTTGGCAAAGTTTCAGTGTTGAGCTAGTTCCCTTTTTCATACTTTTATTTAATAATCTATTTCTTGATTGCATATTGAGTAATATTGACATAATATTGAGCAATCTCTAGAGGTTTGTAAGCAAGACAAATCAGAATTTTTCTATTTTAGAGTAACTGTGCCTACAATACTTTTACCAGCCTTACAGAGATGAAAGTTTTTCTTACCACCTGGGCATAATCCAGTAGGGTAGGCAAATACTTTCAGTGAAAACTCAGGCTTACAGAAAACTTGAACCAGACCTTTCAAATTTTTATTATCTGAAATGCATTTGTTGTTCTTTTCAAGGTAGCAACAGCAGACGATCTTTCAGAAAAGTATTTTATTACAAAATGTTTTTTTGACCAACATTGCGTATTCTAATGACATTTATATACAAATATTAGATTAAAGACCTTGAAAAGTTAGTATATGAATATTTTTTTAAATAAAGTTCAACTTTCTGTAAATATATTTGGTTTTTTTAAATATGAAAAAAATGACTTTTACCATGTCAATTTTCTAAAAATGTGATACCTCTCAGATTTTTCTAAATATGAAAATGAAAGGTCCAGATGCCCCACTTACTATAATCATTAACATTTTTGGGGTGCTCTGATAGTTAACTTAAAGCTTAAATTTCTGAGCTGTGTTATATAGCAGCTAGTCTAGGCCTATTAATTTTTTTCTTTAAAATAAAAGCAAAATTACAGTTGATAATTACCAACGAGAACAAGATATGATATTTGAAATTCAAAGTCCATTTTTCTAATTTTCCTCATTCAAAGACAAGTTGAGTTGGCAAGATCTTTTTCAAGGTTAATGTCAGCTTTCTCAAGACAGCTATTTATCCTAATATAAAGTTGTTTCAGATTTTAGTATTGGCATAGTCTTAGAGTGCTTTGTAAGCAAGAAACTTCAGGATTGATCATCACCTCATTGCTGATATTACCTCACTCAACTTGTTTCTTCTTGTTTTTTTCATTCAGGGTTTTCTCCATGTTTGACTTTACACCACTTCTCCTCAAATTTTTGGTTGCTGTTTTCTCCTCAAAGTTGCTGTTTTCAGAATAAGAGGGTTGTAACAACAATAAAACAATAAAAGAATAAAAGAATAAAAGAATAATCTCTGTAAATGTAATTTACAGAGATTATTTTTTTATTAAAAAAAAAAGAAAATACAAGTCTTGCCGGAAAGTGTGTGCGGTCGCATGCCTTGTTCCTCCATGCTTAAAGTAATTTTTTAAACAACCTGACCACATTTTTATATATAAGTGTTTTAAGAATTTGTGCTAAATGATGCTATAAGAAACTACAAAGAATAAATTAGCAATACTCAAAGAAAGAAAATTAATACTATAAAAAATAGAAAATCAAAATAAAATAAAGTAAAAAAAATTTGAAAATTAAAATTTAGTGAAAAAAATAATTTACCTAAATATTTTATTGTTTTTATTTCCTTTTTTTTTTTTTTAGGGCATTTGTTATTTTCCACGACCAAAGTTGATACAAATTTAGGAAAAAAAAATTTTAAACAAGTTTTTTATGTAAATAAATAAAACCTTATCAAAACATTTTTAAAAGCAAAAAGCCGTCAAAACTATTAAATGTAAGAAAAGAATTAACAAAATCTCACATAGTTCTCAGCAAATTAGTTTCTTAATATGGACTGATAAAAATCGTGAATAAATTGCATATCAAAATTTTTAATTGCTGTTAAATTGTTTTAATTGCTGTTAAATTGTTAAAAATTGTTATAAATATGTTTTTTTATCAACTTGTATAAAATTTGTTAGCTAAAAACAGCAACCACTTTAAAAAAAAGAATACAAAAGTTGTATAAAATTTTTTTTTAATTTTCTTTTTTTAATTATTAAATTTATTAATTTATTTAATGTTTTATTAACATTATATTTCAAGATTTCCTGGGAAGAGTTGAAATATAATGCGACGAAGCCAGGTCAGGCCAAAATAAGTATTGATCATCATTATAATATTCTTTTATATTTTTTTATTGTTTTTTGATGCAATGCACTATTTGGTTAACTGCAAGACTGCTGGAGACAAAGTACGGTAATGACACCCTATTATTGGAAATGCCAACTTGACAGGTGTTTTTGGTCAAGTTTTCCCCTGTAAAAAAAGAAATATAATGCAATGAAGCAAGATCTGGCACAAATAAGTATTGGTCATTATGATATTCTTTTATATATTTTTTGTTTCTTGATTTTGGTTAAATGCAAGACTGCTGGAGACAAAGTACAATTATGACACCCGGAAAAAAGTGAGCCAAATGATTTTAGACTCATTATCAATGCATGATTTTTCTTGCAGATACCAATACAAATCACATATTTGATAAATATGTAATCACCTGCACCAGTAATCGTTGTGAATGGGTATCATTTTTCTTTCATGTCAACTGAAAAAAGTTCAGGGTTATGCTACATTACTATAACTATAACTCCCAAGCAGCTTGCCTTTAGGAAACCTCATTTAGGTGATCAAATGTGATTTTAATGCGCGTGTTTTTTGCTAAGATTATAAGCGCAACGCAACTCGTTGTGTTGCCAATCTTAGCAAAAAACATGCGCATTAAAATCACATTTGAGATATTCTAGTTTATGTCCTAACATGTGCATTAAAATCACATTTGAGATATTCTAGTTTATGTCCTTTAAATGATTTTTAATAATCAAACCTTCTATGCAGATTTACTCGCTAATAAAGCTTAACCATTTGAAAACTCTTAATAACCCAGTGATTTACCAGATAACTCAGTGGTTGGTTTACCTGATTTACCTGAGATACAATTTCATAGTCTTACTTAGATATTTCTTGGTAAAAACCAATTTCTTTTTAATTTTTTATTTATAATATATAGTTTTTATTTGTGATTAGTCCGCTTTATTTCTCTAACAGCTAGTTTATTAACAATAATAAATATCCAATAAAAATTATAATTTAATTCATTCAAATAATATTCAAGTAATAACGTTTTTTAGTTTTTTTTTTTTTTTTTTTTTTTCCTTTTTCTTAATTTTGTTGTGTTAATTTTATGACAAAAGTTTTCATGAATTTATCTTTTATTTAAGTCAAGCAGAACAATCTGAAGAAAAGAAAAGTGTTGGATGAATCACTTATTCTAATTCCATTGCAAAAAGGGTATTTTTTAAAAATTTGTCTTTTAAAGAAATAAAACTTAAAATTTTTATGTTCTGAATATAAAATAATAAAGTAATAATAGACAAAAAAAATAATTGCAAAAGACAGATAGTGTTATCTGTCTTTTGCAACTTTTTATTTTATTTTAATTTATTATTTTATATTATAAAGCATCAAAATTTTATTTATTTGTTTTTTTAATTGTTCTTGGTGTTTTAGATGGCGCAGACAAACAAGGTTAAGACCAGTAAACAATGGTGAAGGATTACGTGGCGATGTTTATTATTATTCACCTTGTGGTAAAAAGCTAAGAACTTATCCAGAAATCAACAGTGTATGTTATATCTTTCTTTCTATTTATTATGGCTTCTTTTATCTAGAAGTCAACAAATACACACACATATATATATATATATATATATATATATATATATATATATATATATATATATATATATATATATATATATATATATATATATATATATATATATATATATATAATCCTAAGAGACTTTTATGGTAAAAAAAAAAGTTTTATTCAACAACATTTAAGTGACTTCAACAACTAAGCTACATTTTAATGTTTTCTAAAAATTAAAATATATTAGGAAGTACATTAAGTTTTATCATTTTTTTAAAAACTGCAAAAATAATGACTAGAAAGTTTTTTTATTTTTTTTTTTTTTTAAACATTTTTTAAACATGCGCAGAGTTTTGCTATATCAACTATCTTATAGCCTGCTGCTACAAGAAAATGCTGCTACATTGACTATTTTGTTAAAGCTACAATGCTTAGTTAAAGCACATTTTTATTTTAAATTTTTTATTTTAAATTTGTAAAGTTAAAACTACATGCATTTACTAAAGTTCTGGCGCTTTTTCGTTAATAAAATGAATTACATCATTAAGTAATTCTTATTTCATCTCATTATTTGACTGAAACTTTTTATATTAGGAGAATTTAGAAAAAAAATCTTTAATTCTTTTTTATGTTAATTAAAATTATTTATATTATTGTTTTTTATTTGTTTATGTATTCTTATTTTGGTTGACAAACTAATATACATAAATAAATAAAAATAAAATTATATTAATATTTTTATTTAGACATTTAAAAAATAAACGATTTATTTACTATTCTCCTAGTATTAAAAAAAATCAGTTAGAACCTTTTTTATTTTTGTTTTAGTAAAACAAATCGTTTGTAAATGCAATTAAGGGAGGTCATCATAATCGTAAAGCATAATTTAATAAAGCATAAGGTGTAGCATAAATTAAATATAAAGTATCAAAAAAACAAGTTTATTTTCCTTAGCCAGTTACTTCTGATGGCAAAAATTCTATAATACCATGAGGGAATAACCTTTTAAAGGCATCTCACTCCATGAAAACTGTTGAAATTTTACCTCATCATTGTAAGTGCATACAGTTTTTATTCTATCACCTTGTTTTTCAAGAGCTATTTCTTCGACCATAGCCAAATTTTTAAAAGAAAGTTTAACCATTTATCAATGTTTGGCGAAAAAACAGCACGGTTTTTATCTCAAGTATAAATAACTTCATAAAGTCCTTTAACATTAACAATTATAAAAGTTTTTATAAAAATAGATAAAAAAAAACTATTACTGGTAATGCTTTATCAAAAACTTTTTTCCACCTTTTTTTCAATGCAAGTAATTTTATTGCTCACTTTTATTGACTTAAGATTAATGTGGAGTAAATTCTCTAAAGAACAACTATTTTCTTAATTGCGTATGTATCAATCCAATAAACATTTGCAATTAACTATAACTCACTAACAATGTCCTCCAAAAAGTTGAATAAAACTGTAACTAATAGTGATATTAAAAAAATTGTTCAACGATTATAATTTTATTAATAGTGAAATAAAATAATACAAATAGAACAAAACATTCTATGACTCCATAAAGGCACAGATGCTTTATGCACAAACTTTTTACCCCTATATTATGTAGTTATACTACCTTATTTGTTTTTAAATTTTTTTTACTACCTTAAATTTTTAAAATTTTTTTTCATATAGTATTATGATTAAAAGAGACATAACCCAGTTGCAGGGCGGGCGCGAGTAGGTGTCACGTGGGGGGGGGTGTCATTACATTTTGCCGACTAAAATAAAAAAAAAAAGGTCCTCGTTTTCCAAAATTTGCCGACTGCCATGACGACATTTGCCAACTGTCTAGATTACCGACTAACCTATATCGAAAGGGTCGACATTTGCCGACTAACTAGTCTAAAAGGGTCCAATTTGCCGACTAAGGGTCCAATTTGCAGACTAAAAATCATTGAGGGAGGGGTGTCTCACACCCCCCTATCGCGCCGGCCTTGCCCAGTTGGTACGGGATCTAAAAAAAAGCATTTAAACATTCAAAACATTCAAAAGATATTTAAAAGAGGTCTTTTTTGCATCCTATGCTTATTGGGAAAGGGCTTCTTGCGCCACCCTACCCTATGTAAATTTGCTTTTTTTGAGACCCAAGTTGACATTCTTAAAAAAAAAGTTTTTTTGCATTAAAATTTAAAGTTGCTGTTAAATTTAAAGTTGAGATGGCCTTTTTTTAATTTTAGTTAATTATTTCAGAGTCTTTAATTGAATTTTAAATAATTATTTCAATATTATTAGTATTATTATTAAAATATTATTCAAGTAATTATAATAATTATGATAGGTAGGGTATTTTTGTTTGTATAATTAATATTATAAATGGTTTTGTTGTTGGTAATACTTTTATATTTTTATAGTATATGATCAAAAATGAAATAACTGATCTTCAGCTTGATTACTTCAGTTTTTCTATGAAGTTAAGAATTGGAGAGTTTTTGGAATCTAAGGAGGTTTAATATTATTTGTGATTTTTTTTTGTGTTGTTTTTTTATTTTTAATATTTTAATCATATCAATATCTGTTTCATATAACTCACTGTTTGTGTTACATGTCAATTTTGCATTGATTTAACTAACTTCTTTGTTGTATCTGGATCAGTTTTATGTCCATGCTTTTTGGAGCATGATCTTTTATTATTGAGACACTGTGTGTCTTTTTTTATTTAAAAAGATATACAGTGTCTCAATATTAAAATTGTTCATTGTGTCTTTTTTAGTTTAAAAAACATTTTTCAATTATCAGTGGTTATTTATTAAATAAATACCTCTAACTATTGCTTAAAAGTTATATTTTAATAATCACTTTTAACACATTACATTGTTTGTAAAACTTTATGTTGGTGTAACTATCTTTCATTGAGCTTTAAATACTTCTTAAGGAGTCTTTAAATTTTAGCAAAGAAAGTTAATTATGTAGTTTAGTAGTAAATGTAGTTATTTAAAATATTATTACAATAAAGTTGTATACAAAAAAACAATGTTTAAAATTGTATAATTGTTTAAAATTAAATAAAATCATAAAAAGATTTGGGTAAATGATTTGTATATTGTTTTTACTTCATTAATTATAATGATAAATTATACAGTTTAAAGAAAAAAAATTTAAGTCAATATATACAGGCTTGTCTTTGTGTCATCCTGGCCCCCCAGTGAAATAATGATTGTGGTCTCTTTTCAGCCTTTCACCTTATCCCATATATTTAAAACACTTTATCAAGTGTTTTAAATATATGTAAAACTTACTCTTGCAGAGTAATTTGAAATATTGACTTCTAAAGAATACATACTTTTTTGTCTATACTATAATATTATGTTAGATAAATTATTTTGAAATCTTGTGGCGGCTTTTTAAATCAGCGAACACCTTCCACATTGATTTCTTTTAAAAGAACATTTTCAATTTAAAGAACGGCTAGAGCTGACGGGCGATTTTGTCCACAATTAGATCTGTAGCAATTCTTTACCCTTTTTAAAGTTGAAAAGGACTTTTCTCCCGTACAATTTGTAACAGCAACAGAGAGAAATATCCTTAGAACAACATTAACGTTAGGAAATGTGGTTTCAAGTTTCTTTGATCGAATAACCAGAAGTAAATCAAGATGATTTGGTTTTCTGGTTTCACTGGTACCGATTTCGATTAAAGTAGGAACGAAGCTCTTGAGATGCAGACATTCATTTGGAAAATATGAGTCCACGTCATTTGGGTAGATTTTTAAACAGCTCTTGAGCATGCGATGTGATCGCAACAGAGTCCATATTTGGAAGGCGGACAAGGAATCCGAAACGAGAGAGAAGTAAAACATAAGCTTGCCTTCATCTTTCAAGCTCAGGTAAAAGTCTATCCATGATGACATTAACTTCAACAATCATTTTTTCTATTCCAGTGAAGCCAGATGCTTCAATAGACGCCAATTCATCATGTTGGCATTTGCGCATTCTTCTTCATTTTTGGTCAGTAGAGTATTTGTCAGTCCCCGCAAATATCATAGCTTCTTTTTCAAACTTGCCAAAACTCGATCTAACCTTTTGAATAAAAAATAGAAAGAGAGCTCTTCAGTTCATTCACGAATGCCAAATCAATTTCAACAGCTTGAAGCATTTTATTCACTTTTTTGAACCTTTCCATTATTGTGTTCCAGATGACTACCATGACAGCCATCTCCAGCTGATCCATTTTTTTGAGAAGTCTACTGGCTTCAACTATCGTGTTAGGCTGTTGCGTTATGTCATCATTCAGCTCTTTTAAGGCTACCTTAAAGTGTATATGCATATTATATGTATATAAATATATAAGTAATATTGCCATCTAAGAACTTAAAGAAGCTGATTTTGATAATTATACCTTGTAATTAGAATGGCTGGTTTGAAGAGCAGAACATGCATCTGAGCGAGCAGACCATCTAGTCTGTGACAGACTTTTTGGAACCCTTACACCTTTTTCCAGTTTTGATTGCAAGACTTTCCAGCGATGTGTTAAAGCAGAAAAAAGTTATATAGTTATTGAAGATAGCCAAAGAAAGATGCAGCTGTCACACGAGACTCAGCTGTTGCGACACCAATGAGATGCAAATAATTTTTCTTACCTTGAAAAATCTGTGACATTGATGTCTCTAGTTTGCTGATTTGTTGTTAATAACTCAATCATTCCATTATTCTGACATCTCCAGTCAGCAGGTTTAGTAAAAAATACTTCGACGTTCTGAGCTAATTTTTCTCTAACAACACTAATGAAGTCCAAAGTCTCTTAATCAAAATCTTCATACTCAATTAATGAATCCGGATGATAGCTGCTACGTGCTTAGTAATCCACTTCTTCTTGTGATGCATCAGATTATTTTGTGAAAAATGTTGTTAACTTTGGTATGGATGCAACAACATTTTCACAATTTGCTTTATATTGGCCTCTTTCTTTCTTTTTGCCTCCAGACTTTCTCTTACCAGGCTGATCCATGGTAATGTAATTGCTTGATCACATATGATATTTTTATTCAGATAGACTTTTTTACCTAAAATTTTATTTGACTATCATTTTTGTTAATTATTTGAAACGTCATTATACTTTAAAAAACCAAGCCTGGTTTTTATCACTGCTTTTTAAATGTTAAAAAAAATAATTGTAATAAATGTATAGTTATTTTAATGCTGATAGAAACCTTTTATTACACAAAATTTTCGAGACAGTTAATTTTAATTGATAACAAAATTTACATGCTTATTTACATGTTTTGCTATCCCTGGAGTAAACAATGCAGCAGCAGAATTTACTTTCTCCATACAAAAAATTAATCGTAAAAAAAATAATTCAGGATTTAAAAATAGAAAAAAAAGAGTGTGTTATGATTTTTTTTAAATTATTACAATTCATTAAAAAATAAATTTGTTAAAAAAGTTTTATCTTTTTCTGACTGACCAATTCTTGTCAATCTACCATTCACACTATAAATAAATTTGGTCTTTGCTTTGTTATTGGAGAATCATTCAGTTTATTTTCTTTCAGTACATTTCCTCATTTTCTTTTGGAAATTTTTGACTAAGTCACTGTTTTTTCTGTCTAGTGTGCACTTTATTTAATTCCAATCAAAAAGGAAATCACATGCATTGATATTCTCACAAATAGTGAGATGTATGTGTATGAGTGATGTGCCACACACAAATAGTGAGATGTATGTGTATGAGTGATGTGCCACACACAAATAGTGAGATGTATGTGTATGAGTGATGTGCCACACACAAATAGTGAGATGTATGTGTATGAGTGATGTGCCACACACAAATAGTGAGATGTATGTGTATGAGTGATGTGCCACACACAAATAGTGAGATGTATGTGTATGAGTGATGTGCCACACACAAGACTTCTTATAATTGTTCTCAGATCCATTAAAAATATAGTTGCACATTTTATGAATAGTTCAGCTTGTGTCACTTGAATTAGATTAGACATGCAGGTGAATTAAAAGGTAGTGCAATAATAATGCTTTTTAAAATGTTGTAGTCACAATTTGAAGCGTATTTGCTTTTTAGTTCAAAATCCACAATCGCATTTTGTTTCTATTTTAAATATGAATCATTTTTTCAAAAAACATTTTTTCAAAAAATAGTGGCATTTTGAATCACATTTTTAATGTCAATTCAAAAAACTAATGTATCATTTTTTTAAAACATAATCCTTTTTAAATTTTGAACATAGTAAATGTGCATGTGATTCATAAACAATCCTTATCTTTTTTTGTCATAGTTTAAATAATTTTTAATTTAAATATAGTTTAAATAAGTTTTAATTTTAATTTAAATATAGTTTAAATTTAAATATAGTTTAAATAAATGTTAATTTAAATATAGTTTAAATAAATTTAAACTATATTTAAATTAACATTTATTTAAACCATTACTAATGATACACATGGAAATTTTTATCTAAAAATAGAAATCAGTTGTATTTTAAGTTTAATTAAAATCATTTCAGTTTAAGATTGAAGATCAAGTGAGAATAATAAAATATTTTATTTTACTAAAAAGTTTTAGTTGATGGTTTTAAACTTTTTTGCTCATCGTAAAAACACAATAAAACTTCTGTTATAATGAGAAAAAAAACCTTGAAATGAAACTTACTATTACAGACTATGCTTAGACAAACAACTTAATTTATTAAACAACTTTTTAATTAAAGAGTTTCTTATTTTTCACTTTTTAGTAGTTATTTTAATTAATTTTTTACAGTTTTTTTCATTTGCGATTGAGAAAAGTTGCAAAAAAAAAATAATTTTACTAACGGACTACTGATAATAATAGCAGACGATTCAAGCAAGACAAGCACAAAACTTTAGTTGACCGAAAGGTGACTGGAAAAAAACCTAAGGTTACACCACTGATGATCAGAGATCTAGATTAAATTTAACTACATTTGAAATTTTGAGTTTTATATAATAATACTTGCATTGAATTGAACAATTATTTCAAATTCTGTATTTAATGTTTATAACAAATAGCTATATGTTATACATTTTTAGGATAATAAATTTGAAAAACTGACAGAAGAAGAGATCAATTCAAGGTTTGATGGAATGTTTGAAAAATTGCGTACTTCAAAAGCACGGTCAGAGGAAAAACAACAAAAGAGGCGAGCTCAAAGTGAAAGAAAGCAAAAATTAATTGAAGCAAAACAAAAGAAAAAACAAGAAATAATACTTATGAAAACTATGAAAAAAGAACAAAAAAAACAAGGTGAGATTATCATTTAAAAGCATTCAATTTGTTTATAAAAAGTTTTTTGGATTTTGATTTATATGAGGTATAAGATAACGAAAAAACATTATTGCTTTTGTGTAAACAAACTTTATGTAGTGGTGGTTATAAATTTCTCACATTTGTTTTTAATATGTTTCTCACATTTATTTTATCGCATATAATTTCATCGCATTTATTTTTGAGGTAGAATTTGTTGTTTTAACTTTTATTTCAATAAATTTAGTCATTTTATTGAAATAAACATTTGGTGTGCTTTAAAATGGAATGTTTGCCTTTAACTGAAATGGATGACTCAACAACAGGTGCCCATTCATTTTTTAGACTTATTAGACAGTCACTACCTAATAAATTATACTGTTATTAGATAAAGGTCCTTTGCTGTTCTCAACCTTTACATAAGTTACCAGTTTGGAAAGATTTGTTGAGCTACCAGAAACATAAAGATACGGCCAAGTAAGCACAGTAGGTGGCTGTCATTTCTGTAAAACTATCAACTACTATAAACATTTTGACAGGAAATATATTATGAATGTTTATGTGGTTATTTAGTTTGCTGAAAATTAACATTAGTTTGCAATTAATAGCCCTTTTTCTTAATGCAAAGATAATTAATAAGAGTTAATTCAAGATAATTAATAAGAGTAAATGCAAGATAAAGCTGCTAAAGAAATTGTACAGGAGTGCATTAAATAAAATGCTTTTTCTGCCCATCCAGAGAGCATTTTGTTTGCTAAACTAGCCCATAAACCAGATTACAGAGATGCTTTTAAATTGATCATTAAAGCCTAAGTTAATCACACAAAGCTTTTGTAAGTCTTTTCCAGGTGCCTGAACTGGATTTTAAAGAAAACCAAGTGGCAAATTAAGTGGAGTGAACACTCTAGAACATCCTTTTATTAGAAACATGTCAAATAATGATCTTTTGGCTGTAGTAGCAGAATCTTTCGTTGCACAAAATTTAAATGTCACCTACTTTTTGTGAAACAAATGGTGAAGGAGGTTACAAACACAAGCCAGAAAGTATTAGGTATGAAGTGATATAGTTCAAACATAAAAATCTTAACGTAGAATCAAGCTAAAATAGCAATCAAAGAAGGATTTTTTAGCAAAACAGTCATACAGTTTTACATATTTTATATTAACTTTTTTTTTAAATATTTTAGAGTATTTTGTAAAACTTTTAATTCTACATCTTTTATTGTTCTAAAAAAATATTTAAACACCTGCTCAATATTTCTCAATTTGTAATAAAGTGATTTTTGTTTTTAGAACCATTTTTCCATATATATATATATATGCGATAACATAAAATATCAATTTGATGGAGGGTGAATATCAACTGATTTTCATGAAAATTTAAACATAGATATGTGTACCAAAAGAGTCAACTAATACCTTTGAAGGAGACTTTTGAAAACAAAACCTTGTTATGAACCACTAATATATATATATATATATATATATATATATATATATATATATATATATATATATATATATATATATATATATATATATATATATATATATATATATATATATATATATATATGTATATGTATATATATATATATTAGGGTAGGCCAAAAACAAAAAAATTTGAAAATTTAACATGTCTGCAAAAAAATGTGATCCTTTTCAAATATGAATACAAACTATAAAAAAAAAAATTGGAAAAAAACATCATTGAGTGCTGTCGAAGTTGATTTGATTATTTTCCTTTTTAGTCTAAAATATGTCAAAATTAGGATTTTTTAGGAAAGTGAAAAAAGATTAGAATTTTTATATCTATAGGAAATATTTGTTATTTGAGGCTAATTTGGAAAAAAATTATTTGGGGCTATTCAAATAATACGTGACAGTCTTATGACCAGGCTAATGAAAAACAGAAAAGATAATAAAAAACCGGTTATTATTTTTCTAGCAGTCATACAATTTAATTCATTTTAACATTTTAACATGGCATTGCATACACAAAAAAGAAAATAAAATTTGTCTGCAAAAAATAATTTGAGTCAATCAAAAAGAAATACTCAAAATTATTGAAATTAACCTTGTTTTTTAAACTGTCTTTAAATGCATCTATGTTGTTTGAGAATAACAAATTATTATATATATATATATATATATATATATATATATATATATATATATATATATATATATATATATATATATATATATATATATATATATATATATATATATATATATATATATATATATATATATATATATATATATATATATAAGTTAATTTAATTATATAGAAATGAGAAGGAGAGCTGAGGAAGCGCGTATGAGAAAACAGCAGCAAGCAGATGCTGTGAAAGAAGCAAAACGTTTAAAAGGTATTTAATTTTTAAACTCAACTTTTTTTAAAATTTAGCTTAAAATATGTTTTTTATTTAAAAGATATTTCTAATTTTAATTTTTTTTTTGTGTTGAACTTTTACTGCTTAAAATATTATCAATGAACTTATATAATTTGCAGCTCAAAATATTATCAATGAAAAGCAAAAAGCGAAAGCAAAGAAAGAGCAGGTTGTTTTTGTTTGATTTGATCAAAATAAAATGTTGCTATGTTGTTGCTGTTATTTATCATCTTTCTTTGTGAATTATCTTTCTTTATCTTTATTTTTTACATAAATTTATTATTTATTTAAAATTTTATTTCTTTGAAATTTGTACTGTGTATAATGAGTATTATTGCTAGATAAGATTTAAAAAGATAGATTCAAATTAAAAATATAGATTCAAATTATAATATATTCAAGTGTGTCAAAAATAAAACAAAATACAAAATTAATAAGTAGTAGTGGTGTAGTGGTTGAGCACTTGTTTTCTAAATGAAAAGTTCCAATTTCAATCACTGTTGTTTGTACTTAATCGGTTGAGAGAGAGAGTTGCGGTTATGGTTTATTATATGAGTAGCCTCCTCAACTGTAGTAGCCCCCACAATCTTGAACAACCCCCAAAACCTTAGAAGGAGAATACAATTTTTTAAATGAGTTAAATGTAGTTTAATTGATATAAGTTATATTTATTAAGAAAATTGCCCTGACACCCTCAGAGATATAAAGTTTAACGAAATTCTAAATTAGAATTAAAAGCATATTGCCTAAAGGATTTGCTATTGAATATATAATTGAATATATTGAAGATATATTCTATATAAATTTTGTGTGGATTTTTAACAACTCAATAAAACACTTGAATATACTTTTTTGATTGCTTAGTTGTGAAAAAAAAAGTTGCCATAAAAATATAAAAAAAACTTTATTAACGCAAGATTTTCAAAGAAAATATAAGATTCTATTTTCATCTTTGCTATTGATGGGGATTTTAGAGTTAAAGAATAAAGGGTATAAAATGCCAGCCAATTGCTAAACACTGCCAACAGTGCTACACATAGATATTTTAGAGGTATAAACTCATATCAAACTTATTTGCATTTCTGTATCAATAACTCTTGTTATATCAATATTTTTGTAATATATATGCTGTTACAACCTTTTGTCAACTCTTTAAATTCAAAAGACAAACTTGACAATATTTTAACAATACTTTTTCAACCATTGTTAAAATAGTGTTGATTGGAAAAGTATAGTTAATATGACATAGTTGACATTAAAGTTAATTTTAAAATGCATGTGTCTTCTAGGTACAAATGAGACTCAAGTTACAAAAAAAAAAAGTTGTTCATATATTTATAACATGTTTTAAAAAATATTTAAAAATTTTTTTTAAAAGCTGCAAAACAATTTAATTTGCCTTGATATATATTTTAGTTTTTTCAAACAAGATATAATAGTCAAATATTTTAACATATTTATAGTTTTGTTTAAACTTATATACAGTCATAGCATATATAAGTTATTGATCTGCAAAAATAATTAGATGCAAAATTTTATGAATTAAAAAAAAACAAACAACCTAATCAATTATTTATGCTTCATGAAGAATCAAAATTTTGTAAATAGAATTATTTATGCTTAAAGGGGAAAAGGTTGCTTAGGTAAATTTTGAGGTCTCATTTTTATAAACTTTATCTCATCGATTGTTGTTCATTGAATGTAACAAGTAATAATCAGTTAAGGCCAAGTTAGGTAAATATGTTGGCTGAGGTAATGTCTCCCAGCTATATTTCAATTATTTTTGCAGAGTTGATTTGGGCACACATGGTTGAGCATATTTATGCAAAGCAAGTTGTATTGGTAGGAAGCAGTTTAATGCTACAGCATGTGTCTTAGAGACCTGAGCTTATTGCCCTACCAATATTTTGAGTTTTTTTTCTAGTAAAATGTTCTATTTGTAGACAAATCTCTGAAATGCTTTTTAGATTTTTTTGAATATTTAAAAGCAAACTTGAAATTATTTCTTTCTTGCATCATATTTATAACAATTAACATTGGTGTGCAGTTTGTATTTGAATTTTATTTAGCTAGTATAAATATTTTTGGAAATATTCTGCTAATATAAATATTTTTATAAATATTTTGCTAATATAAATAATTTTAGGCAAGACAACTAAAGCTAGAAAAACAGAGGTTGGCAAAAGAAAGAAAGCTAAAAGCTGTAGAAAATTTAAATAAAGTATTTGTTTTTATTTTCATTTTATATTTTTGTTTTAAGTTTATTTAATATTTTATTTTAATTTTGCATTTTGAATTTTTTAATATATAATGTAATCATAAATATTTTTTATGCTTAATGTACACATATATTACTATGTAAATTAATCTGATTCATTATAATATATTTTATAATTTTAAAATAAAAATTAAAGTTCCATTTAAAAATTACCTCAATACAATTGTAATTTTAATGATAAGTTTTTTGTTGCTCTTGTTACAATAGAGTTAATAAAACTGTGAATTTTTTTTTTCATTTTTAATATGTATTATGTATTGTTTTTTATATACTTTATATTTTATATTAGCTTTTTGTATTATATCCTAAACTGCAAAGATGATTGCTTATAATAAACCAATTGTAAATAATTTGTATTTATCTTTAAGGTTAAGACAAAACATAAAGCTTCGGATAAAGTTTCTAAAGAAGAGGAAATAGCAATAAAGAACAAAGAAGCTGTAACACCAGTGAAGACTAAAGAAGATGAGGCAACAGTGCGAGCAAAGGTATCTTAAGCTTCTAGGATCTTAAAATTGTATTTTTATTTTAAATAAATATTATTAAAACTTATTAAAAATATTGAAAAAATAACTTTTTTAGATGCGTGAGATTAAGCGTCAGCAAATTGTAATGAGTAAGGCAGAAGAAAAAGAAAAAAAAAGAAGAGAGTTAGTAATGATGAAAGCTTATGAAACAAAACGAAGAGCTGAGGTAAAAAAAAAACAATTTTTAAACCAAATTTTTGTTATTAATTTGTTTATTTATTTGAGTCATTAGAAACCATACCTTAAAATAAAAATTTTAAGGTATGGAATACTGTTGCCATATCTGGGGCGGATCTTCTAATGATGCCCTTTCTCTTTTAGACAAGATGCAAAAACGCATTGTAAACATAATTGGACCTGCTTTTGCAGCCAACCTTCAATCTCTGTCACATTGTCGTAATGTTGCTTCTCTTTCTCTTTTCTACAAATACTATAATGGGCACTGCTCTAAAGAGTTAGCGTCTCTTGAGCCATCTACTAAAATTCATTCTCATGTTACTCGTCATTCAATTAAGTCTCATCCTTTTTCTGTTACTGTTCCTAAGTGCTCCAAAAACTCTTTTTCGTCTAGTTTTTTTCCTCGAACATCAGTTCTTTGTAATTCGCTTCCTTCATCTTGCTTTCCTGATTCATATAATTTCGTCTGTCAATCGTTATCTTGCTCTACAATCTTTATCTTTTCTCTTCCAGTAACTTCCAACACTAATTAGTGGTTGCTTGCAGCCTTGTTGGAAGCGAAGATGTTTAAAAAAAAAAAAAAAAAAAAAGGTAATTTCTAAAAAAAAAAAATTTAAAACTTAGGAGGGTAAAGTTCTTTTTTACCCTATTAAGTTTTTTTTTGATACAAACATTTTGAAATTGTATCTTTGATAACCCTAAATTTTTTTTTTTTTTTATGGTATAAATGTTTTAAATTGTATAATTTTATCGCTCCTTTTGAACTTTGTGCTTATAGGCTATATTATTAAAAACATAATATATTATTACAAATTCCAATAAGTTTTTGTTGCAATAAATAATTTTTACACTAAATTTAGATTTTTACTATAAGTTCATTGTTTTTAAAAATAAGAAAAAGAAGTAATTTATTTATTTAACAACGGAAAGAATGGTTAGAATCATCTGGACAATGTTGCTCATTTTGGGTGAACAGGAAATGCAGCTGGAGTGACAAACTTCAAACTTCCTCTAAAAAAAATTTTCTTTCTGAACTTAGGTGCTATAACTAATAAACATTGGTTATATTGGCTATTAAACATTGGTTAATAAACATTGGTTATATTGGCTATTAAACATTGGTTAATAAACATTGGTTATCTTGGCTTATTAAACATTGGTTAATAAACATTGGTTATATTGGCTTATTAAACAATGGTTAATATACATTGGTTATATTGGCTATTAAACATTGGTTAATAAACATTGGTTATCTTGGCTATTAAACATTTTGCAGATTTTTATTATTTTATTTTCGTACTCCTTGCCATCATCGTATTTTTATTTTCTTGCCATCTATCTTTAAACATTTGATGTAATCATCAGATGTTACCATAATCTGAAGTAACATCTGATGTAATCATCAGATGTTATTTCTTCTAGTCATACTCACGTTGCATTGACGTTTTCTCCTAGATAAGTAACACTATAGATAAGAAGTTCCACCTGCCTCTACTGGTGATTGAAGTGGTGTATCCAGTATTTTGTTATAGGTGTAGATGAAAAATGTCCTATCCTCTGTGTATAATTTGAATCTTACGCAGTTGTTTATTTGATACTACCAAGACTTTTATAGCCTGGTAATTTGGTTTCTTTAATGCGTATTTATTAAATATGATTCTACTCATAGCAAATGTGAGTATAACAAATGTATTATAAACTGTTTCTATAGTTACTATTATTTTAGTTATTATAGTTAAGGTTAAAATCTATTAAATTATATATAAATACTATACAATTACTACAAATTAAGGTTAAAATCTATTAAAAGTTTGTATTTTATTTAAAAGGGTGAATTTAGAAAAAACTTTTAAAAAGTTTTTTAAAAATGTTTTTTATTTATATAGTTCTATGTAAAGTATAAATTTATCATAAATGCTCAAGAGAATCAGGAAAAACTTTTAAAAAGTTTTTAAAAAATTTTGTTTTTTTTAAATATTTCTGTACAGAGTATAAATTTATCATAAATAGTCAAGGGAAACAGTGGAGCAATAGTCAAAGGGAGACTTCATACAGAGCAGTATATGCCAAGGGACACAGGGTAGAATACTGATTTAACTTTGTAATTTTAATTTATTTTTAAGGAGCGTGAAAGAATTAGAGAAAACAAACGTTTAGAAAAAACATTGGTTCGTCAACGTAAATTGGAACAACAACACTATGAGAGAATGATTGCAAGAGAGCTTAAAAAACCTATTGATGATATGTCTTTAAAAGATCTAAGACCGCTTCCTGATATTCCGCCACTACCTAACCTGCATATCTCTGGAAAAGCATATGCAGATATTCTTATGGTGAATGAGTTTATACAAACCTTTGGCCATGTCCTGGATGTTGGTAAAATTTATGTCATAATATTTATCAAGTTTTTATATTTTTGTATAAAGTTAGATTGTAGATCAGGTTAAATATTCAACTATATTACAGCTCTCAGAATTAAAGTCGGCAATGCTGACCTAACTGTCGACCTGAAAGTGTTTGAGGTTGGCAAAAAATTGCCAACCTCGTTTCTATGTTTTATTGTTAGACTTTTGTATCAAATAGTTTTTGCCGACCTCATTTTTCCTAATTCCGAGGGTTGATAGTATCTTTAATATTTAAAGCCATGTTAAATCATTTACAGACTAAACAAGAAAGTTAATTATACTCGATTAAGTCTAGTTTAGCTTTAAATAAGTTGAGATTTTTAACTTCCACTGTTTCAACTGATAATTTGTTCCAGAATTTGACCTTGTAATTTGTAACCCTTTGTAAACCCAATTTGTAACAATTTAAACCCTCACAATTTAGATTTGAATGTTTCTTGCTGGTGAATAAATGATGTTTATTCCCTCTAATATTTTAAGACAGACCTGAAAAATTTAAAGAGCACAAATGTTGAGGAGGGTATTTTCCAAGTTATTTTCTCTATATCATAATACTGTTTGTACATTTGTATGAGATCTCCTCATATTCTTCATTGTTTTAAAGATGTCAATTTCATTTTTTCTAGTCTTTCATTGTATGATAGATGAAATATCTCAGTTACAGATTTTGTTATTCATTTTTGATCATTTTCGATTGAAAAGATATTTATATATCTTTTTAAAGATAAGGGCTCCATACCTGTATTGCAAATTCTAAATGTGGGCGTATATAACTACAATAAAGCAATTTTATTAGTTCACTATCTAATAAAATTGCTTTATTGTACTAATATGATTTGCATATTATACCAAATTTATAGTTTGCAATAGATGATTTGAAATTTTGATTTGAGGTTCTCATTTTAAGTCATTTGAAAATAATATGCCTATATCCTTTTCCAATTTAGTAGTATTTAATTCTTGCTTTATATTAATGTTAGTTATGATATTTATAGTTTTTATTTTGGTTACCATTATGCATGATTTTACATTTTTCAAAATTGAATTGCATTTTCCAGTTTATTACCCATTTTTCTAATATAGCAATGTCATTTTGTAAAGCATGTGCATATATTTCATTGTTAAACTCAACTATTACTTTACAATCATCTGCATACAACAACAATTGGTTTGTAAGTTGACTTGGAAGATCATTGATAAATATTAAAAATAAAATTAGACCAAATACGGATCCTTGTGGTACACTTTTTACTTTGTCCATCCATGATCAACCCTCGGAATTAGGGTTGGCATTCGGCAATGCCGACCTAACTGCCGACCTGAAAGTGTTTGAGGTTGGCAAAAAATTGCCGACCTCGTTTCTATGTTTTATGGTCAGACCTTTGTATCATATAATTTTTGCTGATCTGATGCTGACCTCAAAAAGATTGAGGTCGGCAAATTATTGCCAACCTCATTTTTTCTAATTCCAAGAGTTGCACAATGATTTTTAGTAGTAAAATTTGATTGGCTTGGGTTATTTTTTTTTTGTGTGAACTTTTACATGCTTTTATCTGCATTTATAGTTTTTTTTTAAAAAAAACAAATTTTTGGTAACTTATTGAAAACCTTTAACTTTACAAATACAAATAAGGAAAAACCCTTTGAATAATGAAAATCACTAAATAGTTATATATATATGTATATATATATATATATATATATATATATATATATATATATATATATATATATATATATATATATATATATATATATATATCATGGCTTTTAAACATGCTTGCAATTTTCACATTCAGACCTTTTTGACAATTTTTTTGCAACATAGCCTGCTATAGTTATTGCCACTTCTTGACTATTATAATCAAGGGAACTTTCCATAATTTCTTCTATTCGATTTTCAAACAGTTCATCAAGTATTATCAAGGAAGGATGATTAACTGGTATTAGATTTTCTTCACAGAAGTTTATATGCTCCTTAATTAAAGAACGACATGACAAAATTCTTTCTGAATTTAAAACTTCTTTTAAATTTACAAGAAATCTTCCCCTACTCATATGCCTGTATTGTGAGGAACGTCTCTCAATTGGATCACTGTAAATGAGCTGTCATCACGTAATCATATCCATGATTCAGGAGCTCCTCAACAAGCAGTGCTTGAGCAGGTAAGGCAAAAGCAAAGCAGTGCTTGAGCACGTGAGTTGTGAGGGTGAATGCAGGTGAAAGAGACCACTGATTGATCCAATCAGCCAGAGCTCGGTAAAAAATAATTTTATTGTCTCCTAATACAATAGCATTGCCAATAATATTTGATGAAAACCTTTGTTTAGAATTAGCAATAGTCCACCAAGTGTTAAAAATAGTTAAAAAACTTGAAACATTTTTTCGATTTGGATAGTAGCTTTTTAAAGCTGCAATTGTAGTTTAATGTATAATTGCTAACGCAAGTGGCACACTTTTTTTATTATTTCCAGGATGTAATGCCTCATATGTAAGCTTTGGAGCTTTTCTAAGTTTACCTTTCAGATCATTATCATTATGGTAAATTTTAAATAAACCATCCCAACTAATATATCCTGATGGACAATCAATATTGATATATGCATTATGGTATTTAAAGTCTGAAAAAACAAATTTTTTACCATTTAATAAATTATTTCTAAGATTTTTGACTAAATGCACACTATAATAAAACAAATATGTCTTCTTTCCATGATTCTGTGGGTAAATAATAAAATACTTTGATTCAGACTTGAACAAACAACCCAGCACCTAATAGATTTTTAAGGTTGTCAGCTATTTTTTGTGACTTTTGGAATTGCTTAAACAATAAAAAGGATAGATTCTTTTAGTCCTATTATCATGAATGTGACAATTCCTTTGTACAAGTTACCTTCTTTGTCAGCACCAACACACTCTCCTCCTTGATATTGTGCTGCTTTTTGTAAATAGATTTCATCTATAATCATAATACAATCAGGAGAAATTTTTCCTTTTTCACATAGAATTTTTAAAGCTTTTATAGAATCAATACCTCTTTGTTGAACTTTATTTAATAAAGATATTCATGGTAAAGGGAGCTTTTTAAGTAGTAGTTTGTATGCTTGTAAAGATGTATATCGTAAAAGTAACGCATATCGAATCATCTCTGCTGAGTATGGTAGCGTGCCTTGTGGCTGATAAAGCTCTCTATTTTTAATTTTATCTAAAATAGTGTCATGATTTTCTAGTGTGTAGTTTCTCATATAAGAAGGAAAATTTTCTAGTATACTAATTTTATTAAGTTTTGCATTATGTCCTTAAACAAACCAACTTGGTAATGGAAGCGGTGTTCCATTGTATTGCAAACGTACATTTAGGTCTACATCATCTGTTATTGATTCTAATATAGTTGGAAAATATGTCTGTTCATTAAATACTATATTATAAAATACAACACCTTTTTCAAATAGTTTAAATTGAAACTCAGGTGGTGCTACTGCTTCATTCAAATTATGTACGTTTGTAATTGTATCATTTTTCTTAAATATTTCTAACTAATCTTTTTGGAACATTCTCAATTTAGGAGGACTTCGAGAAGTTTTTAAAACTGGTAAAGATGATTTTTTTTTTTTGTGAAAGTTCACAAGAATACTTAGGAGGAACAGGTTTTAAAAGCCAATTCAGTGTGCATTTATCACCTCTAAGTATATATTTATCTTCAAAATGAAGTTCACATAAAACAGAATGTTTTGTTGGAGTCCAATCTGAACGATTAACGAATTGTATCCAAAGTTGGTTTA